TATAATTTTTAAGAAGTTTCTGGCAGTAGTGAATGCCGATTTTTAATCATTCTTCTTGGCAATTGCTCGATATTACCTGCGTTTCTTGAATGCACTGCCTTCATTTTACTTGAATCACAAATGGGTTTAGATTAGGACTTTGACTCAGTCGTTCCAACACTTGAAATTTCTTTTTACGAACCCCATTCTTTTATGAACCCATTCTTTTATGAACCCCATTTTTTTTATAGATTTGCTTTGATGCTTCAGATAATTGTCCTGGTGCAGCCCCGACTTATATCCAACGTTTGAACTGAGGACAAGACACTTGCAGTGTCCATTGTACCGTCAATGTGTACAATTTTGCCTATTCCAGCTGCAACAAAGCACCCCTATATCATAATGCTGTCTCCGACATGTTTTATAGTTGGTATCAAATTCTTTTTTTCAAAAGCCTTATTAGGAGCTCGCCAGATATCTCAACTCTTGTTCTTCCCCAAAAGCTCTAGTTTGATCTCATCCGACCATAAAACATTTGCCAGAATGTTTCTAGCTTATGAATATGATCTTTGGCATAGCTGAAGCGAGTATGCTTGTGCTATTCCGTAGGCAGTGGCCTTTTCTAGGCATTCTGCCATGAAGATCAGCATTGTTCCGATTTCATCGCACTGTAGATGTATGCACATTGAATCCGACATTGGCCAGTGAGCACTAAAGAACCGCAAAAGTCACAGCAAGATTTGCCTGGGCTTTGCTGAAATAGATATCTACTTACCCACAGACAGCCACTTCTTGATTGTGATGCCGTCATACCAAAGGCCTTGCACTATTTACATTGTTGTCCTCATTTTTTGTTGCCATATTCATGACGTTTCGGCCGTTGTACACTCCGGCATTCTTCAGGTGAATGGAATTTCGAACTGAACCCTTTATTTCATCCACCGGGGTAGATTGTTCTAGTTCCACGTACTATGCCTCTTCCATATGCTTTAATTATTTTATTTGTAGGTGATAAGCTAAGGTAATTAATCTTACATGAAAAATTAGATATTATCAGATTTAGTGATAAAAACCCTTATTAAACTAAAGAAGTGAATTGACCGTAAATTGTAGGCATTGTCTATTTTTTACCTTACTTTGAATTTGATAATACTTTTTCTTATAGCAATAATCAGTTGATGAACTGCGGTGCACTTTATATGGCTTACTATTCTAGTTATAAGATTCATTTTCATTTAATTTATCTCTGTATTGATGATTATTTAGTATTATTAACATCTTATATGGATGTACAAGTGTTTAGTTAGTATTATTAACATCTTACATTGATTAGTTAGTATTATTAACATCTTATATGGTTGCATATATGGTTATTAACGGTTGCATATTAATTTGCCAAAGTTGTTTTGTATTTATGATATGTTTTTTTTTTCAAAAGGGTTAACTTATTTACCAGTTTCTTAAAGGGGCCTTTTATTTATTAACTACAAATTTTTATGTAGATAGCTTAGTGAGCATATAACTAGTTAGCATTATGTTAAATTACCTCTTCACCTTTTTCTTTTTTACTTCTTAGGAAAGTTGAACGTCAGACTTATATACATATTGCAAAATAGTGTAACCATTTATACTGTCCATAATGAAATTGTCAAGGATTTATATGCAACTTCGTGTTATGACCTATATAATAAAAAAGAATTCGTGGGTTTGAATTTAGCGTAGGTCACATTCAATTGGCTAATCACGGTAAAGCCCACAAGCCTATTTTTAATTCTGCTTTTTTTCTCGAGAAAAAAGCGGAAGTATTTGTTTTTTAAAATTAAAATAAATGTTTACTCGGCATTAGGTTACCGTCGCCTGAGTAGACACATTTGTTAGTGTTGAAACATAATTCTAATTGTGTAGCGATTTTTAACATGTTTTTGTCTTAATATCCTAAAATAAATAATTATATATATATATATATAATGAGAGAGAGAGAGAGAGAGAGAGAGAGAGAGAGAGAGAGAGAGAGAGGGGGGATACGCATACACGCACACACATATATATATATGAGTGTGTATACATGTGAAAAAGGGTAGGAGAAAAATGTGTGTGTATGTGGGATTTCAAGAGACTTAATATCTGCAAGAGACGCATTCAGAAATTTACAGACATGCGCAATCATGCCTTTCACCAAACAAACATTCTTATTTAGAGATTGAAGTGGGTTAGAGAGAATAAATATGAGAAAGGCTGCTTATAAGAAAACGTACTTATGATTTGAAGGAGGTGCGCAACCAAAAGAAATTAAACCAAAAGCAGCAAACACACACACACATCATACTCACTCACTCCCTAATGAGCCAAATGATAACACACACCCACAGCAATACACACGCTTACACATATCATACTCACTCACTCTCTAAGAACCAAATAACACACACACAAACACTAAACAGAGACATGTCCCCTCTCCAGGACCAATAAAACTGTCAAAATGATCACGGGAATGGAGAGAAGCATAGATCCATCCAGCTCTTATCTCAAATAACAACTTAAAAGAGACTGTTTGACCAACACAAGGATAGTTAAGATTCATGTTAAAAAGATAAAAAAAATAAAAAAATACAAATGAAAACTACAGACAAAAGTTCATTTTCTCCATCAAGACATTCATTTCTGTAGTTTACTGGTACCAGCAAGCAGAAATATTTCTTCTCCCGATGATGGGCATTTTGTCCGAAACTAGCCGAGAAATCTAAATGGAATAATAATAAAAAAACGAAAGAATATTAATCTACAACCCAGTGTGTCTGAAGATTTTAATTTTTAATATTTTTATTGTTCAAAAAAAAAAAAAAAAAAAAATATATATATATATATATATATATATATATATATATATATAGAGAGAGAGAGAGAGATAGAAAGAGAGAGAGAGGAATTGTGGTGAATGAAATTTGAAGAGATAGGTAAAAATGAATTTTACTACATTCATTTCTATTTAGTCACCTATTTGCCTTTCTCGCTATATATATTATTTGTCTGTATAAATCAACTCTCTGTCTCTCTCTTTTAGCAGTCTGTATTTTATCACCCTCTTTTTCTTCTCTTTCTTTCAACTCATTGATATCTAACTCTTTTTCATTATCTATCTATAGCCCCTGCTCATGATGTCTGAGACATTTAAATCCTCCTTGCTTTTGTCTACTTCTCAGCATTTGAAATCGATGCCCAAAACTGACCTTGGATTATCAACTTCGAGATCGGCTGTAATCCTGATCGCAGGCCCAAGAAAATCTATCTCTGTCACCTTCTCTTGATAAGAACAGCTCACCGGCCAGGCCCACAAGCTACTGCTCTAAAAATTTCTATCATATCCGATCGGCGTTGTCGCGCATTGCTTTCGGATTAGCCCGTTCCGTAATAGAAAAACGCTTGCAGGAAACGAGTAACCTTTAGTGAAAAATCAGCCAATCAGTTTCACTTCCGCAATCTCTTCCTCTTTGCCCTTTTCATCACCAACGATATATAAGTGGCTGTTTTAATCTTCTTGCAGCTTGCAAAGATATTTATTAAGCTTAGTTTATCCCACCAAAGGCTCAAACATATAGAAAAAAAAGCTGTTCCACATACCAGTCTTGAAAAACAGCATTCAAGCGCTGGTGAGAAAGGCATTGTTATAACAATGATTTCATGTGGTTCCCAAAGGGTGCGAGCTCCTCATAGGTGCGGTGGAGGAGGATAGCCGGTGAGGCGGAATGATTGAAATATAATCAAAGATTTAAAAACAGTTTTAAAAAAATCATACACGTATGTATATTAATTTAAAATATTAAAATTTAAAATATTACTATGGATTACTTGTAATTACATGCATTAGTTCTAGTACAGATAATTAGAAATAGTTACTGACCGATTTGATCATTGTGATATTTTTGCATGATATCAAGTATGTATTAAGAACTAGGATCCGCAAATTGGAGGAGAGAGTTATCAATGATTATTTTTGGACTTCGAAACAGCGGTTATCTCCCTTTAATCCATTCTCGGTTATTTTTCGTTTTAAATGTACTTTTTATCACGTAAAATTTGGTAAGGAGCAATCAAATTTTAATCCCGAAAATGCGGCCCAGAGAAAAAATAGTTGGGGAGCCACTGGGTTAAGTAATCACAGTTCTTTGTTAGGTTAAAAGTTTCCATCAATTAAAAAAATAAAATAAATTCACAGTATCGTTATTCAGTTCTTAGCTTTTTATGTCCTTGCGTCATATTTCGCGTAAGCCTTGCTTTTATAGAACAAAATATGCGATAGACTCGTGGTCTGGAGAACATCTACTAAGTTTAATTTGATTTGGCAAAAGGATACAAGTACAGAACATTCAATGAGGATCGGCTTCCCTTACACCACAATAATAGTCCACGATTTTAGCTCGTTAACCATAAACCCACGCCGAGGCGTCCTGGTCCGGAGAACATCTACTAAGTTTAATTTGATTTGGCAAAAGGATACAAGTACAGAACATTCAATGAGGATCGGCTTCCCTTACACCACAATAATAGTCCACGATTTTAGCTCGTTAACCATAAACCCCGCCGAGGCGTCCTGGTCGGAGAACATCTACTAAGTTTAATTTGATTTGGCAAAAGGATACAAGTACAGAACATTCAATGAGGATCGGCTTCCCTTACACCACAATAATAGTCCACGATTTTAGCTCGTTAACCATAAACCCACGCCGAGGCGTCCTGGTCTGGAGAACATCTACTAAGTTTAATTTGATTTGGCAAAAGGATACAAGTACAGAACATTCAATGAGGATCGGCTTCCCTTACACCACAATAATAGTCCACGATTTTAGCTCGTTAACCATAAACCCACGCCGAGGCGTCCTGGTCCGGAGAACATCTACTAAGTTTAATTTGATTTGGCAAAAGGATACAAGTACAGAACATTCAATGAGGATCGGCTTCCCTTACACCACAATAGTCCACGATTTTAGCTCGTTAACCATAAACCCACGCCGAGGCGTCCTGGGTCGAGAGAACATCTACTAAGTTTAATTTGATTTGGCAAAAGGATACAAGTACAGAACATTCAATGAGGATCGGCTTCCCTTACACCACAATAATAGTCCACGATTTTAGCTCGTTAACCATAAACCCACGCCGAGGCGTCCTGGTCGGAGAACATCTACTAAGTTTAATTTGATTTGGCAAAAGGATACAAGTACAGAACATTCAATGAGGATCGGCTTCCCTTACACCACAATAATAGTCCACGATTTTAGCTCGTTAACCATAAACCCACGCCGAGGCGTCCTGGTCTGGAGAACATCTACTAAGTTTAATTTGATTTGGCAAAAGGATACAAGTACAGAACATTCAATGAGGATCGGCTTCTCTTACACCACAATAATAGTCCACGATTTTAGCTCGTTAACCATAAACCCCGCCGAGGCGTCCTGGTCGGAGAACATCTACTAAGTTTAATTTGATTTGGCAAAAGGATACAAGTACAGAACATTCAATGAGGATCGGCTTCCCTTACACCACAATAATAGTCCACGATTTTAGCTCGTTAACCATAAACCCACGCCGAGGCGTCCTGGTCTGGAGAACATCTACTAAGTTTAATTTGATTTGGCAAAAGGATACAAGTACAGAACATTCAATGAGGATCGGCTTCCCTTACACCACAATAATAGTCCACGATTTTAGCTCGTTAACCATAAACCCACGCCGAGGCGTCCTGGTCCGGAGAACATATTTACTAAGTTTTGCTTAGTTTGGCAGAATGGCATAAGTACGGGACAACCTGTAAGGATGTTCTCTCTAGGACGTGGGAAATCATGGCTCTCCACAACTTCCTGTCTTTTGTTGTTCTATGTAACTTTTGACCTTTTTACCATATCTCTTTCTTCTTCTATCATCTATTCACACAAATTTATATGCCAAGTTCTTTCAGGACCTTGGTCGTAATGGCTCTCCACAACTTCCTGTCTTTTGTTGCTCTAAGTAACTTTTGACCCTTTACCATCCCTCTTTGTCAATGTTACTCGCTGTTTACCCCTGCTTCTCTTGCCATCAGTATTTCCCGTGAGTGTTAGGATCTCTGTGCTCTCTTTCCTCGTTCCTTCTACCAGAAATTTCACCAGACTCTTTCTAATTGTAATTATAAATTTTATTTTAGTTCCCATTTTCCTTAAAATTCATTTCATGGTATTCTCAGCCTCCGTCGGTAAAACTACATGTCTTTCGCTCAAAAGGACACTTATATTTACTACCAGAAAATGAGAGTTAAACTTTCTAGGGAACATAATGGGGAAAGAAGGCTTAGAAAAGTTGACACCCACGGTACATATTGAAGGTAAGAGAGACAGAGGAACATGCCTAGCGAGTTTGTGCAAATGGATGGCTAGGCATTACACCCAAATAAGGCGATAATGCTATTAAGATGCAAGGGGGACTACTGGAAGTGGAAGAGAAATAAGAAGGAACAAGAAACCTAATTCTAAAAAGGAAACAAGGGATAAACCTTTACTCCAGTTAAAAGGACGGAGAAGGAGTGTGAGCCGGGCGATAGGTGACCTTATTTCACTTAATATGTCAAGTATGACTTCAAAGTTCAAGGAATTCAACCATGAAAAACATAAATGATTTATTCTAACATTTAATTGCGATCGTCCTTGAAAATGTCTCCTGAACAAGCGTGCCGGCTTCTACAGTGAACGCGTGCACAGGTGCCTGCTATAGTCGCTACTACTTTTTAGTAGCACAATATGTGTGTGTGTGTGTGTAAAGATAGAAAAGATTGATTTATATTTAAAAAGAATGAAAAAATTGTTTATGCGTCAAATTACCCCGTGTTTCACGTGTCTCTCCGATCATTTCACATAGTTCACGAAATCAGTCTTGCAGGAAATAAAGAACTCCATTTGCTATCATTTTTTGTGAGGAAGTTATTCCCTGGCGAGTTAAGTAAGCAGAAATTCTGAGTATCTATCTATCTATCTATCTATCTATCTATCTATCTATCTATCTATCTATCTATCTCATTCTGTTCATATCTATCTCATTCTGTTTCTAAGTATCTATCTATCTATCTATCTATCTATCTATCTATCTCATTCTGTTCACATCTATCTCATTCTGTTTCTAAGTATCTATCTATCTATCTATCTATCTATCTATCTATCTTATTCTGTTTATATCTATCTATCTATCTATCTATCTATCTATCTATCTATCTATCTATCTATCTATCTATCTATCCCATTCTGTTTCTATCTATCTATCTATCTATCTATCTATCTATCTATCTATCTATCTATCTATCTTATTCTGTTTATATCTATCTATCTATCTATCTATCTATCTATCTATCTATCGTGATTTGTTGGCAACTGAATAAAATCTCTGAATTTTTATATAATTAGTAATAGAAACAATAGATGAAAACGAATACTGAACATAAATGATAAGCAAAGTCAGTATCAGAATTAGCGCACACACAAAGGCACACACGCGTGCACATGTACATGCACACTCTCGCACACACATGCACATAGTCTGTTTATTTATGAGGCATTGCTTTTATTTATGTTAACTGAAGTTGACTTACAGCAAAGCAAAGACTTGAGCCAAGCTTAGTTTTACAGAAGGCCACAATAGCGAGTTACTCATTGAAAAGAGACTATCGAGCTAATCCCCGTTCAACGGTCGATACCGCCAAATGCTTGCGGAGTCTGAATTTGACACTACCTCGGACTCTGATAATCTTCTTTTAATCATATTAAAGCATAAATTAGGCACAGGAGAATGAAACAACTTTTTATGAAAACAGATAAATACTCAATTATTATTAATCTTTTAAATATATGAATATATTCTGAAAGTAATGCCTCCTTTTTTTTACAGAAAGTAAAACATAGGGAGTACAATAACACTATCGCATAGAGACGTTTTTAGCTACAAAACATTATTTTCTACTATTAGGTGTACATTTTGACTAGCAGTGAATATTTTGTCGGTGGCTAGTTGTGTATTGTCAACTGAAACATGGTTTGTCATCCACAAATCACTGTTATCAGCAGCGAAATATATTATCCACCGCCTAACTGTACTCACATCCACAGTTTTATATTCATAAATGCACATTCTCCTATGTCCGTTAACCTTCAGGATCATGGCTCTTCACATCTTCCTTTGTAGTTAATAGAAAGGTTCGTCTTTTCACCATCCCTCTCTCCCTGTTCTGCCACCAATTTATAAAAACTTCTTAGCTAGATTATTAACTGTTTCCTTTTGTCTTTCTTGCCTTCGACGTGTCTTGTGAGTGTCAAACTCTCCACGGCCTCTTTTCTTTGTCCTAGTAATTTCATGTCTCTTTGTATTTTTCTGATTCTAAATATATGCGTCTTATTGGTTTCCATTTTGCTTAACACTTCCTCATTACTCACATGTTCAATCCATGGGATTCTCAGCATAAAAATACGAGGTAAAATAAGTCTGCCTATATATTTGATTGAAGTCAGTGTGTCCTGACCAGGAGCAAACAGCATGAATAAATTTTGTACATTTAATGAAACAGTTTATATATATATATATATATATATATATATATATATATATATATATATATAATAAATTAATTGATTTAAAATGTTTTTTCGCTACACAGTTCTAACCATGTTTCAAAATGGAAGCTAAAAGCCCTGAATTTAATTTTGTAATTAAATTAAAGACATTAGTTCCATTTCATCCTCAAGCGTTCTTTCTTACTGTTATTTCTTTATATATATATATATATATATATATATATATATATATATATATATATATATATATATGGGACGAAACGACCGTCTAGTGCTTTCTGCATTCTGTTGAGATTTCTTCTAGACTCGATGAATTACTTAATTATGATTATTTCAAATCCTCTTAATTAATATATATATATATATATATATATATATATATATATATATATATATATATGTGTGTGTATATTCATACATTTCATTGAATAATATAGACAAGTGTTGTCTATTTATTTTATATAAATTTTTTCGTAACGTCTGATAAGTTGTCTGTATTATTTAATGAAACGTGTATGAATGAAAAGATGCTGCCTAAATACACACAATATATATATATATATATATATATATATATATATATATATATATATATATATATATATCATGATTAACGGAGCAAAACTTTTTTCGCACACACACACATACATATACAGGGTGCGATGTATAAATTGTCGTCTAAATTACGCAAAAATGAAAATAACACTGACATTTCATTTTAACATTTTACCAAAATTGCACAGACATAGCTTGAAATACGAAAGAGTAAATTTATTCAATAAAATCGTCATTGGCTTCAACTACGGCATCCAGACTACTTCAGAATCTCCTGCAACATTTCTGGCCGGTTTCCTTATTTAAGTTAATGAATGCTGCCATAATCCTTGCCTTTACTACATCTTTGATGTTTGTTAGTCTCTCACTCAACTGCACCCCACACATAATAATCAAAGTGGTTGTAGTCTGGGGAGTTAGGTGACCAGATGTAAGGGGTTATGTGGTCGCATAAATTGTCTGTCAGTCATGACTGGGGTCCCTTGTTGCAGGATCCTGTTGTCAGACATAGGGTTTTATAGCAGCCACCCTATTCACCCAGGGACAGCACTAGCTCCTCAAGGCACTTGATATAGATTTCCGTGTTGAGTCAAAGGCCCTGTGAGAAGATGAATGGAGGCATAACTTTGTTATCGCTAGTGATCACTCCAAACACTATGATGTTGACTAGATATACCATCCAACTCTTTCTGAATCCTATGCACTGTGAAACACTTTGAAATGTTTGTATTGGAGCTTCCGGCGAGAATGCCAAACAGTACAGTATATTGTTTTCAAATTTCCGGCAAAGTGAATTGTGTCATGTGATCTATTTCTCAAAAACGGTATCCAAACGAACCCTACTATACTGTGCAGTCGACAAAATCAAAAACAAACAACGTGCATGCGCGAAATTACAAATATAAAATGGCGACAATTTACTGCTCACACTCTGTATTTACATTGCATAAAATTTGCTGTATTTATGGGGGATGATTTTTTAAAAAATCATCTCACCTTAAGGAATGCTGTTACTAGGACGTAAGAGTTTACTGGGTGTGAAAGAGAATGAGAAGATTTTAGTGAGGAGAAAGGACATTGAAAGATAAGGTTCTGAGAGACAGAAGATGGCGATTGGCGTTGCAGTTAAATCTTTGAAGATTGTATATGGCAGGGAAGCAAGAAATTGGAAGCGAGTTCTATAAGCCAGAAGTTCGAGAAAAGAATCTCTTAGAATCCATGTGAATGCTTCCAATTAAATGTTTGTATAATATCATATAATTCTGCTCCTTCCTCAATTATGCCTTGTCGTTACCGCAGATAAATAATAGACCATTCAATTTTAACTGTAATGAAAGATGGCAGAAAAACCATATCCGAGACACTGTTTGTATCTAGCTAGATAAAAAGTAAAATGGCACGACTTAGCTGTCAATCTAGTAGCAGGCTTAAATTCATTCAGTCGAGGTACCAAGGAGGAGAGCTCATCAGAACCATTACCATAAAAATATTTATAGAAAAGAGAGAGGTGGGAAAGTAACCCAGAGAGGGTTACTGAATAGAATAATCAAACGAAACAGTAGCAGTAGTCGTAACAATTGATTCAGTGTAATCAGTTCTCAGTATCGGAGATAGATGTCACGTGTAGACATAAGAATCAACACAGTGTAGTGACTGTCAGTTTCACGCCATGAGATAATCGCTTATCGTGTGAAACTGGTAGTGATCATGCAGTTTTACACTAGGGGATCCAGAAAAGCGCCCGGGCAAATCCAGAATACTCATTGGAATATTGTTATTTTATGGGAAGGGAATCGGGCCGAGAATTATTCAGCACTTCCTCGGACACACACACACACACACACACACACACGCACACACACGCGCGCATATAAGCAATGTATGTCTGGTAGCGTTTGAAGTCAATGATATGTGCTTTGGTGATGCTTAGGAAAGAACAACACATATAAGTTTCGCCAGCGCTGTGCAGAAGAAGTAGTCAACTGTTGGAAGTGAGTCAAGTGAATTCCACAATTAATCTCCTGCTGCAGACCAACATACTGTATTTACTACTGGATTTATGTGAATGGGGACATACCCATTATCGTCCGTAGGTATGCTAAAACAGAAAGTGATTCAAGTCGAGATGCCAGGTTAGGATTGATTACATTATAGAATATTTTGGATTTGTCGAGAATCTTGAGATATATACAAGGAGCATCAGATCAGATCAGATGTTGCAGCAATATTCAATGAACGGGCGTCCTGGGTATGACGATAAACTACATCCGCGTCCAAGGTAAGACGATAAACTACGTTCAACAGCAACGCCGTTGATCGGGAGACTTTGAGGATCGTGGAACGACCTCTTAATTGCAGGTGTTCTCAGGACCACCCTAATTCGGGGTGGTAGCACCTGTTAGGGTCCCAGCTATAGGCAAATAGTTAACCCCGAAATTAAAGTAAAAACATTATAAAAGTGTAAAAATAGATATTAATACCAGAAATACTTTGTAAAAAATTATTACTAGAAATAAATTTTTGAAGAAAAAAAATATTACCAGTAATACTTTTTTGAAAAAATAGTATTACTAGCTATACATTTTTGAGGAAAAAATATTAACAGAAATAGGTTTTGACAAAAGAAGAAAAAAGTTGTCGGCATTAAATAACCTATTGAGGTTGATATACCGTAAACCAAAATAAGCCAAACCACCAATTAACGAATGAATGGTAGATTTATAAATGTGAAAGACAGTGAACCAATTTTCGTAGCAGTAGTCGTAACAATTGATTCAGTATAATCAGTTCTCAGTATCGGAGACAGAAGTCACGTGTAGACATAAGAATCAACACAGTATAGTGACTGTCAGTTTCACGCCATGAGATAATCGCTTATCGTGTGAAACTGGCAGTGATCATGCAGTGATTACACTAGGAGATCCAGAAAAGCGCCCGGGCAAATCCAGAATACTCATTGGAATATTGTTATTTTATGGGAAGGGAATCGGGCCGAGAATTATTCAGCACTTCCTCGTACACGCACACACACACACACACATACACACACGCGCGTGCGCGCGCGCTCACATATACACACGCACGCACGCACGCACGCACGCATATAAGCAATGGATGCCTGGTAGCGTTTGAAGTCGAAGATATGTGCTTTGGTGATAATATACGGTTGAGGTCATTTTAGCACCGGTACCGGAAAATTACTGCGGACAGAAAAAAAAAAAAAAAAAAGAATGAGAAAAATAAACAAAACAGGAATTATGATGGTAAACAAGAAACAGAAAGATGAAAAAAAAGTTTCCGGTAAAAATGGCGGAAAAAATAAAAATAAAATCTCTCATTTTTTTTTTTTTTCTGTGGTTGAAGTGAATTCAAAAAGTGAGGGCTAATCAGGTGAAAGAGGTGGAGGTGTGGGAAGAAAGGAAAGAACGTTAAAGAAGAGAAGGAGAATGAAGAAAATGTGGATGAAGAATGCTGTATTGATAAAGAAATCGAGTACCACCACCATCACGATTACTACTACTAATGCTACTACTAATATGAAGAGACTTTTTGTTCCGAAATCATTGTCCAAAAATCCATGAATGGTGGGATTCTTTACTATTTTGAGAATCCAATTTCATCGAGTTGTCCGCCGTGAACATTTCATTTTATGCTCTTCAGTCCTGCGCTTTTGTGAATACATCGGTGCCTGGGCCGCCATTACACATTCGGGTAGGTGAATGAAGTAGAAAAAAAAAGAAAGCATAAAAAGTTTAAAAAACTAGTGTAAGGTCAGCTAATGCCCTGATATGATATATATATATATATATATATATATATATATATATATATATATATATATATATATATATATGCACATGTGTATGTGTGTTGTTTAATAGCAAAGAGAGATGGAGCGATTATCGATTATCAATATAGGACTACATTGCATGATGAGTGGCAGTTTCACGCTTCAATTTCAGCTTCAGACCAAGAGTTGGTTCCTATGTCGCGCTACATGCAGTGATGGTTCCTATGTCCACACAATCTATCTATCTTTGTTTCGTATCTATCTATCTATCTATCTATCTATCTATCTATCTATCTCTATCTATCTATCTATCTATCTAACATTTCACACACATAGCTTCTTAATCTTTTGTTCTTTGTTTCATTTCTTGTAATCGTCTTTTTTATGTAACGTTTTAAAATAAATAATAAATGTGATATCTGTTAATGAATTCCATAGATTTATCTTACAAGCAGAATGGTGTCTCTGTAAAACTTCAAATTGGAAGGTAAGTCATTTGAATATATATATATATATATATATATATATATATATATATATATATATATATATATATACACAAATGACATATATATGTATATATTTGTGTGTGTGTGTACATATATATATAATATAGTGATGTGTGGATAGATACATTTATACTTATTTTTTTTTATAAATGTAATATATGTATATACATATATATGTGTGTGTGTGTGTTTTGAACAATAAAAATACTAAAAAATTAAAATCTTCAGACACACTAGGTTGTATATTAATATTCTTTCGTTTTTATTATTTCAGTTAGATTACTCGACTAGTTTCGGCCAACATGTCCATCATCAGGAGAAAAAAATATTCTGCTTGTTAGTAGCAGTGAACTACAGAAATGAATGAGTTGATGAAGAAAATGCACTTTTGTCTGTAGATTTCATTTGTTTTGTTTTTTAATTTTTTAACATGAATTTTGGTCAAACAGTCACTTTTAAGTTGTTATTTAAGAAAAGAGCTGGATGGATTCATGCTGCTCTGAATTCCCTTGGTCAGTTTTGCAGTTTTATTGGCTCCTGGAAAGGGGACGTGTTTCTGTTAAGTGTGTCTTTTATTTGGTTCTTAGGGAGTGAGTGAGTATGATGGATGTGTGTATAAGTGTGAGGCCTCAACACCTCCGCAAGCATGTCTGTCTTGTGTGGTGAGAAATGTGGTTATTGCATTGCATATGTTGATATGCAATGACATTTGTGCGTACATATGGATTATTTTTATAATTACTTTGATGCGCATAATTGTATTTGAATTATAATTCTAATTTTTTAGTTGGAAGTATATGGATTGTGCGAATGTGTATTTTGGTGCATTTTTTTTTCATGTATTTATACTTATTTCTATTTTTATAAATAATATGGACTGCTGAACTATTACTGTAATCCGGGATATAAATCAATATTTTAATTATGTAAACATTAGTTTTCAATCAGCACGTGAAGATTACATTGTATATGGAACTCATTTGTGCTACTGGTAAATGATTATTGTCTTCAAAAATTTCTTACTCTCTAAGAATACTTTCTTGCTTTAAATAAGATCTGCTATATAAAACAAATCGATCACTCAAATCAAAATATATCTACCTGTCCACTGTGGCATTTATATATTTCTGGTTTAGTATTTTAAACTATTTCAAACGTTTTCGACAATTAGAATCTTAAATCCTGGGATATTACCAAAGTATGCAAAGTCAATACACATGAAGCAAAGCAAATGAGAATATCGGTTCCTTCTTAATAATAACGATTGTGCTAACACTGCGAAATAATAACACGTTAGCAGGAAGTGACGTGTAATTAATATTAGACATTGGTCGTTTCGAAGACTTGTGAATTCGTACGATCTGGTGTTTATCAGTGATTACAATGTTAAGGACAATGATATTGATGAAGAAGCGGAGAGTTTAATGATAGTGATTAAAATGATAATGAAGACGGCGGATACTTTCAAATATGATATCTTACTTCGTGAAAATGACCACGATCGTCAACTCGACGTCAGGGAGACAATTTTAATCGATAAGCGTTACGCAAATCATAATCAATAGAGCCGCCATGTTGACGGTGTCGATACAGCCGAGAAATATGGCGGCAAAGAAGAAGAATTACGTGAAATGTTCAAACAGATAATAAGCGGCGATTTCTCCATGAAAGATAATGGTGGAGAGGTCAACAGGAGGGTTAATATGGAGATTAAGGACCTATTACTTCTCCTTCACACACACACACACGCACACACACACACACACACACACACACACACACACACATATATATATATATATATATATATATATGATTGACATTTTCAGAAGGGCAAAGTATGTAAAAAACGAAGAAACAAACACAGAAACAAATCTTCAAACACAGCTTTATAAATTCAAATAATTCTATTATTGAGTGTAAAATAATTTTTGTTTTCTTTTAAGTTGAAAAAAATAAGCTACAAATTTCCTCGTTCAGTTGGTTCTGAGCCTTTCGTTTAAGAAAATAAACGCAAACAAATTTCATACGGAAATGTTTTGTTTTTTTACAGTCCAAAAGAAGAAATGAATTGTACTGGTAGAGAGAGGAGCGCGTGTGCGTGTATTTTCACGCGAAAAACTAAACTCTACGCTCTGTTGTTTTTGCATAGCGTAAATATAGCAGTACGAGAAGCTATCGGTCAATCAGCTAAATATCAGCACAATTACAGCTCATGACAACTAAGCTTGAAATATGTTGTTTTTGTTTATCGCTGCTTTGTGTTTTCGTAATATAAACCGTGCAAACTGGTTTCAAGAAATATTTTTAAAACGAGTTATAATTTTACAAAAGGAACTTTCGCACTCAATAAGTTTTTTGAGGAGTCGTGAGTGAAGAAAATCACTATTATTCACAAGCCGGTCGAAGTATACAAAAGACTAGTCTATTTATTTAAGTTATGTTATTTATAGGAAAATTTCGGATCACAGAAAGTTAAAAGATACATTCATTAAATTTAGAACTTTTATTGGTTAATAAATATATTTCTAAATTTTTAATGTTGACTTTTAGGTGGGAAAAGATTGTTAATCCTTTTCTTGGGTGTGAGTTTCCATTTTTCTTGACACAGAAATTGTTGTCTGCATTTTCAAAGCTTTTGAATTGCATCTCAAGCAACGCCGTTGATTGGTCAATAAATGCTAATGTGGAAATTGGAATTTAACATTCGTGTGATCCTATTTTTGCATAGAATTGGTGGTTTGGCTTATTTTTAAAAATAATGGAAGCTCTAATAATAAAAAAGAAAAAGCCAACTCTTAACAATATTAACTATGAACAAAGCCACAATGTGCTAACCGTATTCGGAAACTAAAAACATCACTACCACACACCGAACATACACAGAACACACACACTATACTAAGATGATAATCGAATCATCCTTGATAATGGCTAAAGGTATAGCCGAAAGCGCTCGGAAATACAGAACATTCGGACAGTTCTTACACACTCTTTGTCCAGAAAAGAAAGCTCTTGTTAGAACACAAGAAAAATTAAATAAAAAGCTCAACCGTAGTACCTTGTCTGTCGTTTTTAATGAAACATGCATAAAGGAAGGATTGCTGTCTAAATATACAAATATATATATATATATATATATATATATATATATATATATATATATATATGGCAAATTGTATGACAAAGTGAAAAAAGTGACGTTATTATGTTTGTACGACTACTAATAAAAAGTGATAGAAAGAAAAAGAAAAAGTCTCTAAATGAATTCGGCTAGATAGTAAAAAAAAATTACAAAATCCCTATTACTCGTCGTTTGTGTGCATGTATAGTCGTACCACACATATAGGCACAGCACACACACAGAGACATACACACACAGACACACATACACACCTTACACTTATATATAAGTGACGAATTTTAGATTTGTATTAATCATATATATATATATATATATATATATATATATATATATATATATATATATATATTCTTAATTCTACTTCAGTTCTTTACTTCTAACATCTCCACCTGAAATCTGAAATTTCTATTTATTTACTTTTTTCTTCCTAAATAGAAATACATACGTTCGCCTATTGCCCGGTTCACTCCCAGTTTTTTTGAACAGCAGTAGAGGTTTCCTTTTTAAAATTGGGTCCCCGGTTCCTTCTGAAGACTTTTCCTTTTCTTTCACTTCTCGTAGCACATTGCATCTTAGTGGCGTTATGGCCTTGCTTGGGGTGAACTGAAAAAATATTTTCCTTTTTTTTCTTCCATATATATATATGTATACTAAGATACGGAGAAAAATTGAGAACACTGGTGGTCCTCACAGAGGAAAAAGAGAATGTAAAAAAAAACAAACAAAAAAAAAAAAACTGTGCATCGACTCATTTGAGTCCGGGCGAATATAATTTAACCGTCTAATAAACTTTATTTCAAATAGCAAAACTTAGAATTAAAGAAAGATATACAAAGCAAAAAATCTCTCTCTCTCTCTCTCTCTCTCTCTCTCTATATATATATATATATATATATATATATATATATTCATGTAGACGCCCGAATAAATATTGATCATATTTATAATAAAATAATCAGCTTCAGAATTCCCCTAAAATTAGATTTATTAATCTTATGTTTATTGGTTAATAAATATTCTCCCAATTTTTAAATATTCATTATAAGGAGGAAAAATACTGTCGATCATATTCTAAAGTGAGCCCCCAAAATGTTCAGAGCTTAAAGAATTTTTATCGTCTGCGATTTCAAAGAATATCGAGCGTCTAATACGACGTCACTGATTGGTTAATATATATGAACACAAAAATTCAAATTATTATAGCCGGTTAGTGTACAAAATTTAATTACTTTCTGTGTGAGCCGGTTTTGTACAAAAAATGAGTTTTCAGTGACAGTACTTAAATCTACAATTCTGAAAAAGCACCCCATATATATATACATATATATATATATATATATATATATATATATATATATGATAGAAAGAGGAATATTACTGACACACGTGTATGTCTGTGAGTAATATTCCTCTTTCTATTTCCTGCTCGGCTAAGTGAGAAAACGTTATAATGGCAAATAAATTGCACAATGTTTGATTGACTTTAGACCCTGAATATACTGGTTCCCCTTTCTCTTAAATTATCGGCTTGACAATGAATTGTAATTAATCATTGATATCAACTTACATAGGATGGGCTCCATACTTACATACATGTGTATATTAACAGCTCTCAGTAGGGTAAGATGAATTTTGAAATCGTTAATCAAATAATGCAAATGTTCTG